AGGAAAATGTTTGCCTTTCCTGTTGAATTTGTATGTACCTTTATCTTGTAGGAAGATTAATATAACCCAAGTTTTTCTTTTCATTTTTACTATTAGGAAGTCCAGAGAGAAATCATTCAGTTTGAGTAATAAAATTTTCCAACTAACTAGTATATTTTTATCTTTTTTAATTTAAGAAGCTCTATCCTAAGTGTATTTTTTATATTGGAACTGCTACAGTAAAGTATAAGACATGAAAACAGTAAAGTATAAGACATGAAAAATATATAGAAGGGGCGGGGGCTGTAGCTTTGCACACGTGAGGCAGTGGGTTCAATCCTCAGCAACACATGAAAATAAATTAACAAACAAAGATTGTGTTCACCTACAACTACAAAAATATATAGAAAATGGTGAAAAGTTTTGGTGATCAGCATTATCAAAAAGTAATATTTGAGGGGCTGGGGTTGTGGCTCAGCAGTATAGTGCTTGCCTTGCACGTATGAGGTACTGGGTTCAATCCTCAGCACCACATAAAAATAAATAAAGTTAAAAAAGTAATATTTGATTAAATAATTACCCCCAAATCCTAGTAAATTTTACGCACTTCGGTCTTTTAGATTGCAAAATAAGCAATAACTTGTCCTGCTTTGTATCAAACTTGAGAATAGTGGAATTTTTCCTTGAGGCATGGATTTTTAGGCAGCATTTATTTATTCATTGTTCAGTTTTTATTTTAGCTAAAAATGTTGGCCTTATGAATTTATAATGGACAATTTCATTTGGAAAGCACATTTAAAAAGGGTTCAAATATATTTTGTATATGGGCTTGCATATGTGGTTTTTAAAAATTGGAAGGATATACAACACGTGGTTAACGATAGGTATTATTTGATAATGGGGTTATAGGTGACTTTTCTTTTTTTTACTTATATGTATTCTGATTTGGAGGGGCGGAGTGTGGATGATGGTGAATGTATAAAAAAGAAAAATCCATTTTTTAGGGATTCACAAGGCTATTTTGGTTCACTAAGGGTCAAAAACTATTTTCAGTGCTCTCCTATCTTAAAGGAAGTAATATATTCATGAATAATTATCTCAAAGTTATCCAGCCCAAGGTAATGTTAAGTTTCTTTTGGTTTTAATTAGAATATATAACTTTTGTGATAATGCTATTAGTAGATGACAGCTGCTTTCTTTGGTAGGATAAGGAACAGCTTTAATTTACACATGGAAAATCAAGAAGCAGGAGGATCACAAGTTCTGGGCTAGCCTCAGCAATTTGAGACCCTGTCTCAAAATAAAGAGGACTGGGGATGCACCTGAGTGGTAGAGTGCTCCTGGATTTGATCCTCAGTACCCCGCCCCCCCCCCCCCCAAAAAAAAAAAAAAGATTTATTCTCTGATGTTAGTACTAATGCTATGTCAATACCCAAATTCTTTATTTTTCCCATGTGTAAATTAAGGCTAACAGCATCTACATATATTTCACAGTGTAGTCATGAAAATAAAATGAGATATAATAGTGTAGGTAGCATACTCTTAATATTTGGTATACGGTAGGTGTAGACTTATAAGAAATTGCCAAACAGTTTTTGCTTAAATAATCTTTTACTTATATAATACTATACAGATTTATGTATTCATTTGCAACAAGTGTTTAGTCACTTTTTATTTACTGTCAGTGATCATTTGACTACTTTTTAAGTACAGGCATTGTGCTAGCTGTGGGAAAACAACAAGGAAGAATAGTGTATGGACTGTATTCTCTATCACTTTATAATGTAGGAGGAGAGGTGGTCAGGTAAGTCTTGTATCATACAAGACTTGCTTTGATTGGTACCTGTTAACAGCAGTGTGGAAACAGCCTGAAAATCCTGCAGGGGAGCTCTCAGAAGCCATGAGGCCTTGCCTTGTTTCTTATGGGCATAAACCCTTAATACGTGAAATTTATATCTGCATGTCTATTATGTCTATTAATAAAGTCACTTATACATATGAGATTGAAAAAGATTATTTTGTTGAATTGGTTTAAATGGTTTAGCTCTTGTAGTATGAAAGCTCAGTAGAGAAACCATTTGTATATTTGAAGCTTTCTTTGAAATAGAATCTTTCTCCATTCTCTCATTAGGGATTTATTTTCCCCTCCAAGACTTGGTCCTTTTTTAATAAAAAGGAAGATATAATATTTTACTGTACATACAGTTTTATATGTATAGTGCATGACAGTTTGAATAGTTACCTTGAGTGAGAAGTTACACCTTTGCGTATGCCAAATATAAAACTTGGAAATAGGGGCTGGGGATGTGGCTCAAGCGGTAGCACGCTTGCCTGGCATGCGTGGGGCACTGGGTTCGATCCTCAACACCACATAAAAATAAAATAAAGATATTGTGCCACCTAAAACTAAAAAATAAATATTTAGGGCTGGGATATAGCTCAGTGGCAAAGCGTCTGCCTTGCAATCGCAAAGCCCTGGGTTTGACCCCCAGTTCCCAAAAAGACACACAAAAAAAAGAACCCCACCTAAAAAATAAATACTAAAAAAAAAATTGGAAATAGGAATCATGGGGGAGAGTTAGGAGAGAAAACAAATCTCTAATAAAATGTATAGATTTCAAATGTTAGAAAAGAAATGTTTTATTAAAGTTTGATGAATATTATAGAATATTCACTTGCGTTCACTTTGAATCTACCTTGGGATCAGGATTGTTCAGGGTGCTAATGGAGTGTGTGTGTGTGTGTGTGTGTGTGTGTGTATGTATATGTATATATAGGGGAATATATATATTCATGATCATATTCTCTTTTTTTAACTTAAAAAAATTTTTTGTAGTTGTAGATGCCTTTATTTTATTCTTTTTTTTTTTTTATGTGGTGCTGAGGATCGAACCCAGTGCCTCACTCATGCTAGGCAAGTGCTCTACCTCTGGGGCCCCGGCCCCCCCCCCCCCCCCCCCCGCCCATATTCTCTTAAAGGGAATAATTTCATTTAACATTTAATGATCAGTGTAATAAAACATGGAAGCTAAATAGACTTGAGTGAAGAATGATAAAGGCTGTCTATAGTGAAACAAAGTGTATTTAGGTATATTTAGGACAAATGATTTTGATTTTATCTTTACCTTAAAAGAATCCTTAGGCTATATTGTACTGGACATGGGCTCACTTTTTGTGGTGCCTTCAAATAACTCACTGCATTTTAACATTGAAATTATCATCTTTAAGGAACTAAAGATTCTCTCTTTTGAGAATTCTTGTATTTTCCTGGTCAATTGTTCTATCTACCTCTCCACAAAGCACCACTTTTACCTCTCTTTTAATGCCTGTATTTTGTTTTGTTTAATAACTGCTTGCTGATATTTTTGCCGTAGATTTTTCACTTTTATGGCAGATTGTGTATCTTCTATCCACATAGCACCAAACACATCAAAAAAATTCTTTAAATACTTGTTCTTTATATAACTGGATCACACCTGGAAACAGATGCTGGTAATGGAGAAAGGAACATGAAAGGCTTCAAGAAGGAGATTTTATTTATGTTAGACCTTAAAGTAGTATTTCAAGAAGCAGAAGAGGAAAGAGTATACCACATAGCTAGAACCATATGATAAGTTATTGAAACAGAGGTGTTTGGATTTTTTGTTTGTTTGTTTTGTTTTGTTTTTGGTACCAGGGATTGGACTCAGTTGCACTCAACCCTTGAGCCACATCCCCAGCCTTATTTTGTATTTTATTTAGAGACAGGGTATCACTGAGTTGCTTAGTGCCTCATTTTTGCTGAGACTGGCTTTGAACTTGTGATCCTCCTGCTTCAGCCTCCCAAGCAGTAGGATTACAGGCATGCACCACTGCGCCTGTCTTAAAACTAGTTTTTTTTTTTTTTTTTTTTTTTTTTGTTACTACAGAGGATAGTGGTAGGTGTTAGATGGCAGGTGCTTTGAAATTGTAGAGGGCCTTAAATATGTTCCACAAAAGTTTTTTTTTTTTTTTTTTTTGCTCAGTTACATAGCCAGTGTGGAAGCAGAAGGAAGAAAACAGCCCAGACTATATCTGCTATTATGTATCAAGTAGGTTATGATAGAGAAAGACATTGATGACAAGACAAGCTAGGTAGGTATGGTACCAAACTAAGTAGAAGTTCATGAAGACATGAAACCCCTGTGTGGCAGGAGATAGGGAAATGAAGTATGTTGGCCAGTGACGAATGTGGGATTGAAAAAGGAAAAAAAAATCTGAGACTGTAGGCCAAGTACCTGGAAAAGTAGTTGTTAGTAAGAGAAAGATGTCAGAAGAAGTGAGTTTTAGGGATGTGAGGCTTGAGTGTAGTCTCTTGAATCAGCTATAGTTTGTACACATAATCATATTCTTATTACAGTCACACAGAGTTATGGAGGGTAGGTATAATTTATCACATTAGGTTTTTCTATGTACATAACATCTTTTTATAGTATTTATACTGTATTTTCTTCATATGCCTATTTCTGACTAGGTTAGCTCTCGAAGTGGAAGGACAGTCTAATATTTACCTTTGAGGACTTGACTTTTGGAGTTAAAAGTTTAACCAACACAGTCATGATTCTTCTACCTCTTGGCAACATAGTATGATAGAAGTGGGCTTTTGGGATAGGCTTCAGTTTGAATACCAACTTTGTTAACTTACTGTTTTACTCATGTAATATTTAAGTTGATATAATTCACACACTATAAAATTCACCTTTTTTTACAATTCAGTTTTTTTTGCGTATTCACAAGTTTGCACAGCTATCACTACTATCTAATGTTAGAACATTTCAACACCCCAAAAAGGAAATGCTATACCCCTACTCATGTCCATTAGCAATCACTCCTCAATCCCTCTTCCCCCAGCCAACTATTGATCTTCTAATCTGATCATTTTTATTCAAGGGGAAGAGATAGAAATAATGATTCTATCACTGATTTCTAACTACTACCCTTCAGCACTGTATTACACTAAAAGGAGACATTAATTGTGGTTTTTTTTTCCCCCTTGTAGGAGAGAACACCAGGAAGTCATACAATGGGACAAACAGCAAATGAAGGTAGACTTTACTTATATAAAGATGATGTTTTTAGTTACTTGTGTGGTATACTGAACTTTTGGAATAAAGCCTTTTAATCAATAAATATTAAGTGCTTAGAAGTGGAATTTTAGAACTGAATAACTATTAGAGGCAATCATGTCTTATCCTAGTTTTGTAAATGAGAAAGCTGAAACTAAGGGAGGTTAAGTGAACAAGTTATACAATATTTTGTGATAAATCCAAGATTAGAATCCAGATCTTGTAACTCTAGTATAAGTGATTAAAAATCACTTCATTCCATTTTGTCTGCTTAATGTTCGGTATATATGCCACACTCATTTGCACTTCGCTTTGTGTTGTGTTTCCCTTTCCATTATATATTTTCCACATATTTGCCTTGCTAAATCTTGTTCCTCCTTCAAGTCTTGTATCTTTCGTGACTTTTTCTCTGGCTAAATGAACGCTGTCCTTTAAATTTTGTTAAGTATATTAGTTTAGGGTAGTGTCTATAACTAGATTGAATTTCTCTAGAGCAGGAGTCATGTCTGTACATTTTCTCAGAAAATCTTACTGTGGAACTTTTAAGTAAATACAAGCATGTACTTTTAAAAAAATCAAATAATTTTAAACAGAAAGCAGCCCATATAACCCTTTTTAAGTACTCACATAATTAAAAGAGTTCCCCATTTATAACCAATAAGTAGATCTTTTACTTTGAAAGTTATCATTCTTAGGTCCTTCTTTAAGAAGCCACATCAATGTTTATAACAGCTCAATTCACAGTAGCCAAGCTATGGAACCACCCTACATGCCCTTCAATAGATGAATGGATAAAGAAAATGTGGTATATATACAATTGAATAGTACTCAGCCATAAAGAAGAATGAAATTATGCCATTTGTTGGTAAATGGATGGAAATGTAGACTATCATGCTAAGTGAAAAAAACCAATCCCAGGAAAAGGCTGAATGTTCTCTCTGATATGTGGATGCTAACCAATATCAAGGCAGGGTGGGGGGGAAGTATAAAAGTTCATTGGATTAGATAAAGGGGAATGAAGGGAAAGGAGGTGGGATGGGAATAGGAAAGACAGTAGAATAAGTTGGACATAACTTTCCTATACTTATATATGAATACACAACCAGTGTAACTCTACATCATGTACAAGAATGGGATCCTAATTGGAATGGGTTGCACTCCATGTCAAAACACACCCTACTGTCATGTATATCTAGAAACAACAAATAAAAATATAAGGAGGAATGGGATTGTGGCTCAGCGGTAGAATGCTCGCCTTGCACATGCGAGACCCTGGGTTCGATCCTCAGCACCACATAAAAAAAGTGAAATAAAGGTATTGCGTCCAACTACAACTAAAAAAATAAATAAATATTAAAAAAATATATAAGGAAAAGTGAATGAAGAAGGAAAAATAGTTGAGCAGTTATAGAGAAAGGGAGGATAGGGAATATAGAGGAGGAATGGAGGGACAAAGCCTAAAGAAAATGATGCCAGCATCTACCATGGTAAGATAGGAGAAATTAGCCAGGTGAGGAAGAAGAGGTAGCTTGTTCCAGGCAGAGGTCATCTTTAATCTACTGAAGCAAAGATGTGGTTGGGCTAAGCGACTGGCCAGGAGATGGCAGCAGAGATCAGGCTGACCCAGAGCACAAGAGGCTCTCTGCACAGGGTGAGCCCTTGCCACCAGCATCCCAGGTGACCCTGTTATCCACATCCTGATTTATCATTTTTCCTAGATCTTTTTTGGTTAGCAAAATATTGTTATGGGATAGGTTTAATTTGCATATTTGATATTTTTAAATTTTTGATAGGTAAAAATTGCATGTATTTATGGTGTAGAATATGATGTTTTGAGATATAGTATATAACTTGTTCAGTGACTATAAAAAGATAATTAACATGCATTAGCTCTCGTTTTTCATTAGGGGTAAGAATACTTAAAATCTATTTTCTTGGCAAGTTTCAGGTGTTTAAAATGTTGTCATTAATCACTATAACCATGATGTACAATAGATCTCATGAACTTATTCCTCCTGTGCAATGTAAATTTTGTGTCCTTTGACAAACATCTCCCCAAGCCCAGCCTCTTAGAACCATCATTTTGCTCTCTGCTTCTCTAAATTCAACATTTTAGATTCCACATATAAGTGAGATCATGTTGTATTTGTTTTGTGCCTGGCTTATTTTACTTAATATAATACCCTCAGATTTATCCATGTTGTCACAAATGACAGAATTTCCCTTTCTGAGACTGAACAGCATTCCATTGTGAGTATGTATCCCATTTCCTTTATCCGTTTACCTGCTGGTGGACACACAGGTTGATTCAATGTGTTAACTATTATAAGAAATGCTGCAATGAATGAGGGAGTACAGATGTCTTTGACATGCTGATTTCATATCCTTTGAATATATACACAGTTGTGTTTGGGAATATCTCAATTTATGAAGGAAAAAAAAACCCTGCTTGTTAAGTTTTTATTTTTAATTGACTAAATATATTCCATACTGAATTGAAATAAAATTGAAAGGCTTTTTAAAAAGAAGTTTATTACTTACTTGACAAAGCATCAATAAGGCCAAAACAGCAATTGTTAAAAATATATAAAGTATGTTTAAATTGATGAATTCATAATGATACAAAACTAAAAAATTCACAAGTAAAACCTATTGGGGGCTGGGGTTGTGGTTCCGCAGTAGAACACTCGCCTAGCATGTGTGAGGCCCTGGGTTCGATTCTCAGCACCATATAAAAACAAATGAAATGAAGGTATCTGTTGGTCATCCATGGAGATTGCTAGAGATCCAATTTATCATTTTGAAAACTCAAGAATAAAGAAAAAAATAATATGTTAATTGTGTCTTCCCTTTGTGATCTGTACCTCAGTGTAACTGAGTGGTTGAAGAGAGGAAGTTTCTCTCTACAGAAGTTTTCTGGATATGCTGGGCTCAGTGACACATGACTATAATCCCAGTAATTTGGGAGACAGGCAGGAGGATCACAAGTTCAAGGCTAGTTTCAGCAGCTTAGGGAGATCCTGTCTCAAAAAATAAAAGGGCTGGGGATATAGCTCAGTGGTAAAGCATCCTTGGGTTCAGTCCCTATTACCACACACAAAAACATGTTTTCTGGATAATCAAGAATGAATGCTAGAATTAGAATCCCTCCATTTTGTAGCCACTAATAAACTAATGTCTAGGAATACCCATCCATGGCTGTTTACTAGGACCAGAAGAACACAATACTAGGGGAAAGGAGTGAGCAAAATTCTAATTAGAAAACTCTAAAGGACTAGCTAGTTTATTGCCATCAAGAACAGTAAAAACATTACAAGGGAAAGGTAAAAAAGAGGAGGAGAAGGAGCCTACAGATCAAAAGGATATAGGGAGATATCAACCATTGCTATATGGGAACATTGAGTGATTCCAACATACATACACTTATAATAATTGAAGCAGTTGGAGAAATACGAACACCTACTGGTTATTTGATGATAGAAGGCATTTTAACTAATATTTAAGGTATAATGGCAGTATTATGCTTCAGTTTTTTTAAGTCCTTTCAGAGATACTTTAATATCTGTGGATGAAATGATGTATCTTAGATTTGGTGAGGTCTCAAGGATCCAGGGCTATTTGAGACCTTTAGCTTAAGACAGAGGAAAAACTGCCTAGTTCATCAAATTACCTTGCATTCTAGATTCCCTGTGATATTTTGAATACTCAGAAGCATACACTTTATTTCTAGGACTTGTAACTTTGATTTGGAAAGGTTTTTTTTTTTTTTTGCAATTTTATTTTTGTGGTTCAGGGAATTGAACCCAGGGCCTAATGTATTAGGATATATTAGTTTATACATTATAAGGATCAGCTCGTTTTGGTTTATAACATTCATAACAAATGTTTGCTTATTCTGCATGCCAGTTCCTGTTTTAGTGAACAAGATAGGCAAAATAAATCCCTTATGGCGCTTTCATTTGAGTAGAGTGAGACATACAGTAAACAAAATGAAGTGAGCAAATTATAAAGTGAATAGTAAGAACTATGTAGAAGATGAGGGTATTAGTCATAAAAGTTAAAACTTACTATTAGAAAATAGTAAGACCTATGCAGAAGATGAGGAAGTTATAAAAAATACAACTTACTATTAAGAATAACTTCATGGGCTGGGGTTGTGGCTCAGTGGTAGAGCCCTCGCCTAGCATGCACGAGGCACTGGGTTTGATCCGCAGCACCACATAAATGTAAAATAAAGATATTGTTTCAACGTAAAACTATGTGGTTTTTTTGGTATTGCTGACTATTTTCTCTTTTTTGTTAGATTCAATGGAAGTCAAGAAGGAGAGTCAAGAGAAAACTCCTCACTCAAGCACATCATCTGTGCAAAATGGTAGGTTTTAAAGTAGTTTAATACAACATGGTTTTGTTTCTTACTTAGTATTAAAATAAACTCTTATTGCTTTTGGTACAATATGTACAATAAACTTGTAAATATAAAAGCTAAGCAATAGAAAAGGTCAAAGCTTATATTTTATTCTGAAATTTTTACTTTGGTTTTACTTAGAGATAAAATTTATCCTTTGATAAGTCTAACTAGTCAGGCAACATACATTGTTTCAAGCCAGCTAAGTACACTGTTTTTTGATCTTCTCTGGAATTATGATATGTTATTAATGGGGAGGGGTAGACATTAAGAGTTTGTAGAAAATGTAGATCATTAAAATAATCTGTATACCTGACTACACTAATGATTAGCTAACTGCTTTGCTCTACTAACATTTTCTTGGCACTTTGGATCTAATAGTCCTTTGAGAAACTACTCTGGTTCTCAGAATTTTTTCTTTCCATGAAACATTATAAGAGCAAAATTCTGTTGGACCACATACTTACACACCTTCAGCTCCCCATGAAGAACAAAGTGCCTTCCCATTCATGGGATGAAATGGTATAAACATATTTCTTGAATAAATTCATATCTGAAGTAGATGAATAAACTTTGTATTACTCTACAAAAATTCCTTTGTTTCTAATGACATTTTTTAAATCACTGTGCTTTACTTCTCAATACATTGAAAGGACCTGGGTTGTATCAGAGCCATTATTATTAGGAAATTGTCTTGTTTTTTATTTCCATGCTGCTAATCAAATGTAGATCAGGATGTTTGAATCTGCTCTTTAGGAAGTATTTGTTTTTAAAGAGTTTTCTAACTAAAAAACAGATGGTTCTGAAAACTACTATGCATACCATATGTATATATATATATATGTATGTATATGTATATTCATTCATCCCTGTTTTGCACATGTGTTTTCTCCAGATGATTTTCAGTGGGACAAATATTTGAAAGAGACTGGATCTTTAAGTGCTCCTGCAGAATGCTTCAGACAGGTATGCCAAAATTTTGTAGATGTTTTTTATATTAATGTAAACCAGGCACAGGCCTGTAATCCCAGCACCTTGGGAGGCTGAGTCAGAAGGATCACAAGTTCAAAGCCAGCCTCAGCAACAGCGATGTGCTTAGCAACTCAGTGAGACCCTCTCTAATTAAAATACAAAGTAGGGCTGGGGGTGTGGCTCAGATGTTGAGTGCCTCTGAGTTCAATCCCCCCAAAAATAAAAATAATTTATTCTTATGTCAGGTATACTAAGCCCTTATATGATTGCCCATCTGGAGGGAAAGATAAACTTGTAAATAAATAATTATGAGAAGTGTGATACCTTTATACCGGGAAGGATAATAGAAGACATTCTATTTGAGATTGTTGGGAAGAGGGGGAGGCAGAGGCAAGGCACCTGGGTGTGAAAGAATCTGAATATTGAGGGATAGCCTGGGGTAGCTTGAAGCACAAAGAGGATGGAAGTGATAGTGTGGAAATGAGGTTAAAGGTGTGGGAACATTTAAACTGTGCTGAGCAGCTGGACTTTATCATAGGCAATGATGATCTGCTAGTAGGTTTTTTCTAAGAGGAACAGCCTAATTGCATTCTTACTTCAGAAAGCCCCTCAAGGTGAATTTTAGAGGTTCTATTTAGGTATGTGGGCAAATGAGTAAGACTAGCAATGGGTAATGTTTTTATACTTGCATGTCAAACCAAGGAGAGAGTTTGGAGAAAATTTTTTTCTTGACCCTGATAGGTTTGACCTCAGTTACTGTCTGCTATGACTCGTACTTAAAATGTTTCCCAGGTATTCTGGTAACATAACTGTTTTTCTTAAAGTTGATGCATTTTTGACAAATTTTTATCTAATTATAGTCTAAGATTCCACCAGCAAATGACTTCAAAGTTGGTATGAAATTGGAAGCTCGTGACCCTCGCAATGTTACTTCAGTATGTATTGCTACAGTTATTGGAATTACTGGGGCCAGATTACGTTTACGACTGGATGGCAGTGACAACAGAAATGATTTTTGGAGACTTGTCGATTCCCGGGACATACAGCCTGTTGGGACATGTGAAAAAGAAGGAGACTTACTTCAGCCTCCACTGGGTAAGAATAAACCATTTAAAAAAAATAACATATTCTTACTAGTGTGATATTTAGTGGAAATAATTTTAAGTGACCTTTAAAAAATCTCTCTGGCACGCTCACAAGTCAGGTGGTTACTGTGTAGAATGTATGATGAGAGAGAAACTCCATGCCATATGTTGTGCAGTTTGACTTGAGTACTCCTGGCATATGTTTGCCAAAGAGTCCCATTTCAGGACAGTGCTCATGCTAAATCTTCAAACTTGAAATGCTAAGTGCAGCTTTAGATTACACATTCAGATCAAGAACCCCATCTGAGGAAGAAGTTTGTAGCATTTGGTACGAGTTATAGCCTTCTCAATTTTGATCATTGAGCCATTCAGCATTTTTGATATGAAATGAACAATAGGTGAACTCCAGGTCCAAACATGAGAATTTCATTATACCTACAGTGGGAAGAAATCAGAGTGAGAGAAATAGGAGTCAGTAACTTTGAGAGCGAGCTCCAAATCCTAACCACTAGTTCACTAGGGGACTTACATTTAGGTCTTTACAAAGGAGGAGAGGATGGAACTTTAAGTAAAGGGATTAAGATATCAAATATATAACACTCAATTTTGGCTAAGCCTTTGAAAGATAAAAAGATAGTGACTCTTACTTAGGGCAAAAATTTTTAAATTTAAGCACACCATGATACTATGTGGAAAATAAATGATTTAGTTTGATTATTCTACATTCTGAGTGATTGGTAGTTATTGGTTTTTATTTTTATTTTTTTGCAATACAGGAAATTGAACCCAAGGGCAGTGTACCACTGGAGTATATCCCCAGTTCTTTTATTTATTTATTTATTCATTTTTTTTAAATTTTGAGAGGGTTTCATTAAGTTCCCAAGCCTAAGTTTCCAAGGCTATCCTTGAACTTGTGATCCTCCTGCTTCACCTTCCCAAGTTTCTGGATTTATAGGCATGCACCAATGTGCCCAATAGTGGTTACTCTTTTAGCAGTATATTTTCATAATGCCTTATTGTAATTGTTAATATAACTAATATGATTTAGGCTTCCAGGTATTGTTCAGTGGTTGAATCTGTGCTTAGCATGTACAAAGTTCTTGGTTCAATCCCTAGCACCCTGCCCCTTCCCACCAAAAAATTGGTTTAAGATTTATACTTATTGAGCTGGGGTTGTGGCTCACTGGTAGAGCATTTGCCTAGCATGTGTGAGGCACTGGGTTCGATTCTCAGCACCGCATATAAATAAATAAATGAATAAAATAAAGGTCCATCAACATCTAAAAAATTTAAAAATATATATTTTTTTATGTTTGGGTGGTGCTGGGAATCAAACCCAGGGCCTCAGACTTACTAAGCAAACACTTTCCTTCTGAACTATATCCTCAGCACTAAAATATTTAAAAAAACTAGTCAGAGATATGTTATAAGATGATTTAGGGTATATGTGGGTTTTTTTTTCTTTTCCTTTTTTTAAAAAAAAATTTTTTAGTGGTAGATGGACACAATATCTTTATTTTTATTTATTTATTTCTACATGGTGCTGAGGATTGAGCCCAGGGCTTCATGCGTGCAAGTCAAGCACTTTACCACTGAGCCACAACCCCAGCCCATTTTTTGCCTTTTCTTCATATCACATTTTTTGGGTACTAGGGATCAAACTCAGGGACACTCTACCACTGAGCCACGACCCCCAGCCCTATTTTGTATTTTATTTAGAGACAGGGTCTCACTGAGTTACTTAGTGCCTGACTTTTCCTGAGACTGGCTTTGAACTCTAGATCCTCCTGCCTCAGCCTCTGAAGCTGCTGGGATTACAGGCGTGTGCCACCATGCCCAGCTATTTTTGCATTTTATTTAAAGAAAATAAAGATATTACAATGGTCAGCATTTCAAATGCATAACCAGATTTATGGTCATTCTCTTTTTTCAAATTACTTATCATATTTTTTTTTAAATACAAACAATACTTATAGATTACTATCTATTTTGGCAGTGTATATAGAAATTCACAATTTGTGTCAGTTTGGTCTATATGCACTTTTGAATAGTTTAATTTTCATTTTAATATAACAACTTATTTAGTTTTCCTTTTTGAATTTTTGTTTACTTAAAGCTTTTTAAAATTCTTAGTTATAGATGGAACACAGTGCCTTTATTTATTTTTAAAAAACATTTATTTTTTTAGTTCTGTTGGACACAATATCTTTAGTTTATTTTTATGTGGTGCTGAGGATCAAACCCAGCATCTCACGCATGCTAGGTGAGCACTCTACCACTGAGCCACCACCCCAGACCTTATTTATTTATTTTTATGTGGCACTGAGGATCAAACCCAGTGCCTCACACATGCTAGGCAAGCATGCTACCAATGAGCCACAACCCCAGACTTTGTTTATTTAAATCTTTTTTTTTTTTAATTTATTTTTTTATTGGTTGTTCAAAACATTATAAAGCTATTGACATATCATATTTCATACAATAGATTCAAGTTGGTTATGAACTCCCAATTTTACCCCAAATACAGATTGCAGAATCACATCGGTTACACATCCACATTTTCACATAATGCCCTATTAGTAACTGTTGTATTCTGCTACCTTTCCTATCCTCTACTATCCCCCCTCCCTCCCCTCCCATCTTCTCTCACTACCCCATCCACTGTAATTCATTTCTCTCCTTGTTTATTTTCCCATTCCCCTTACAACCTCTTATATGTAATTTTGTATAACAATGAGGGTCTCCCTCCATTACCATGCAATTTCCCTTTCTCTCCCTTTCCATCCCACCTCATGTATCTGTTTAATGTTAATCTTTTCTTCCTGCTCTTCCTCCCTGCTCTGTTCTTAGTTGCTCTCATTATATCAAAGAAGACATTTGGTATTTGTTTTTTAGGGATTGGCTAGCTTCACTAAGCATAATCTGCTCTAGTGCCATCCATTTCCCTGCAAATTCTATGATTTTGTCATTTTTTAGTGCTGCGTAATACTCCATGGTGTATAAATGCCACATTTTTTTTTATCCATTCATCTATTGAAGGGCATCTGGGTTGGTTCCACAGTCTAGCAATTGTGAATTGTGCTGCTATGAACATCGATGTAGCAGTATCCCTGTAGTACGCTCTTTTAAGGTCTTCAGGGAATAGTCCAAGAAGGGCAATAGCTGGGTCAAATGGTGGTTCCATTCCCAGCTTTCCCAGGAATCTCCATACTGCTTTCCAGATTGGCCGCACCAGTTTGCAGTCCCACCAGCAATGTTCAAGAGTACCCTTTTCCCCACATCCTCTCCAGCACTTGTTGTTGTTTGACTTCATAATGGCTGCCAATCTTACTGGAGTGAGATGGTATCTTAGGGTGGTTTTGATTTGCATTTCTCTGACTGCTAGAGATGGTGAGCATTTTTTCATGTACTTGTTGATTGATGTTTATTTAAATCTTAAAGGTTATTATTAAGATTTTTTTCCTTTTGACATACAAACCAAAGTGTACAAATTCTAAGTATACAACTTATAACAAACATACCTGTATAACTACCACTCATATCAGGAAATAGAAAACCCTAGAAGCCCACTTCTGCTGATTCCCCAAGTTATAAGCTACCCCTTCCCAAGTATAACTAGCATCCAGACTTCCTAATATTATAGATTAGTCTTATCTATTTTAAAACTTTTTATATGTGCTTTAATCTGTTTTTGTTTTGGGGTGGGTTTTTTTTGTGTATTTTTTTTTTTTTTTTTTAGTTTGTGTATGACTTTAGATGATTTAAAACTTTAGGAGAATCTTGGTGCATGATAAGATGAGATAAAAGTTAAGCAGAAGGACCAGAGAATGATGGTTATGGAATATTCTTCTGAGAATGCTATTTATTAGATATCAGTAATGTTGATTTATTATAAGAGTAAGTAACAAATCAAGTACATACACTCATTTTTTCCTAATGGCAGTTGTTTTCCTTAGTTGGAGGGTTTTTGTACAGGATTATTAGAAGATGGCTTTTTCTACCTTAACTTTCTTGCATGTAATAATGGATGCATCCATTATTAGTGATTCATATGCCTGTCTATCTTAATGCATTTATCCATCAAGGATGCGTGCTAACTTCTTTCCAGTTCTGGTATGGGCATAGGCAGGTGTTGTATGAAACAGATTGTCCTGAGAAAATGGTAAAATTAGCACCCCCTCTTGTCTTCCTGCTGCCTGTGCCAGATGTTGAGATCTCTAGCAAAGACAACTGTCAAGTCTATTTTGATAGCTTCTGATACGAATTCTAAGATCATGTTTAGATTGCTGAAGCAAGAGCAGTCTTTTTTCTTAACATTTTATGAAAAATTTCAAGTATACATAAAAGAAGAATTTTACAGTGAACACCCCCATACCCACTACTTAGATTCTACCATTATCATTTTATCATACTTGCTTTATTACTTATCTATCCATTTTCTGTCCTTTTGTTAGTTCATCAATCCCTCTTATTTTTTAATACAATTCAGCATAAGTTATTGATATTAGTATACTTCTCTTAGATGCTTAAATTAACTAGAATTAGCATTGGGTTTTTTGTATATTAAATCTATATACAATGAAATGTACTGCTGTATATGTACATTTGCTGAGTTCAACAGAAAACTGTCTTTCTGAAAAGAAGAAACCAGGGACTTTGAGGGAAAAAGGCGGGTAAAAGTCTTTTGAAATCTTGTGCTTGTGTTGTTATTGGTAAAATGGAACTTCTTCCAGTCTCTGTCTTGGATCCCCAACATATATACATGTTCATTGGTAAACCATAGCCAGTAGCTTCTCTAAAATAGAGTTTTGCTGCATGTGGTGGTACACACCTGTAATCAAAAGCTGGGGACTTAGCTCAGTTGTAAAAGCACTCCTGCGTTCATCCCCAGTACCAACAAGAAAAAGTTGCTAACCCCACTGTAGCATTGTTGCCAGACAGTACAGTGGGGATAGTAACAATGAGAGGAGGGTGCATCTGCTCCTCTTGCCTGTATCCTATGTCCTTAGATAAGAAGGTCATTCTCTGGAAAAGAATGATGAGTGAAACATGTTTTTTTTTTTTAAATACTAACTTGCTATAGTATCACAGGGGGACTTTTTTCATGATTTCTCATTTTTAAAATAGGCTACCAGATGAATGCATCATCATGGCCGATGTTCCTTTTGCGAACACTGACAGGATCTGAAATGGCACCTGCAACTTTCTTTAAGCAGGTAAGTGTCATAAAAAACTTCCAACAACTTATATTTTTATTGTGTTAATGGGAATGCTTAATGCTTTGTCTTCTCTGATATGAAAAAGCAAAAATACTTTTTAAATTACTGGATTGGCAATTAAAGTTGTTTTCTGGCCCAAGAAGGAAGGGGGCCACAGAGAAGATGTATCTTTTCAGGCAGGCCCACAGTGACACTCCTCTTCCAGCCACACCCCACCTTTCTACTGTTAACACCCAGTCATTCTGAAACTAGGATGGACTGATTAGGTTACTTCTCTCAAAGTCCTATCATTTTATCTCCAAACAATATTGCATTAACATGAAAGCTTTTGGTGGACACCTCATATGCAACCCAAAATACCTACCCGTATGATACTCGTATGCTAGTAAAGAGAGACGGTCAATAAACACAACGTAAAAAGCAAAACATGGACACATGTAAGAAATGATATGTGCTATGCAAAAAGAGGGGAGGGGAGAGAGTGTGTATGAAGGGATACAGAGAGCCATATGGGGGAAGGGGTTTTGTACAATTTTAAGTAAAGAATTAGGGCAAGTTTCAAATGAAAAGTGATATGTGAACAGAAACCTGAAGGATCTGATTGTTAACCAAGCAAATATCTACAGAAGAAGTGCTCAAGCAGAGAGAATACCCATGGTTAAGACCGTAATGCAGGTGCTGTCTGAAAAGTTTGAGGAATATCAAGGAAGCAAGTGTAGCATAGTTTCAGATCTGTGAGAATGCATTTCTTCCCATATTAATTGATAAATATAGAGCTTACTTTTTGTGTGCTAAGTATTATAAGAGAATATACTTGAGCAAATGGTTTTTAATACATCTTAACAATGAAAACTTAAAAAAAAATGTTTTGGTAGGAACCACCAAAGCCACCCATAAATAATTTTAAAGTGGGGATGAAACTGGAAGCTATTGACAGAAAAAACCCATACTTGATCTGTCCTGCAACCATTGGAAATGTTAGAGGAGACGAAGTTCATATCACGTTTGATGGATGGAGTGGAGCATTTGATTATTGGTGCAAGTATGATTGTCGAGATATTTTTCCAGTTGGGTGGTGCTGCCTAACAGGAGATGTATTGCAACCACCAGGAAATAGTGGTAAGCTAATACATAACTACATATTCATTTATTAATTCATTCATTTTTATTGAAGTTAGTTCTAACTGCTTTTGTGGCATTGTGGTTAGCATTGGTGATATTAGGACTTCGTGTCTAACTAGAGTGGCAGCCAGAACAGCAGTATCACTGTTCAAGCAAGAGAACTAGAAGTCAAGAAAGGCTATGATTAGAATTCTTGAGGGCTGCCCCAACATCATAGTCTTAGTTCCAGTGCACACTGGAGAATATGGGCAAGCTAAAAATTTCATTTGGACCACTGAAGCCTTGTTGCTATAAGCATTGGTCAAGGGTGGGGGGTGGTTCAACTACTTTTATAATAGCTATTCAATTAAAAATTATACACTAGAACTGGGAATATAGCTCTGTGGTAGAATGTGTTAAGCATGCACAAGGCCCTGGGTTTGATTCCTAGTGCCCTAAGGAATCTTTTTACATGGTATATTCCATTGTTCATATTTCAAAGGCAATTTTTCTAAAAGTTGGGCATAACAGCTATTTAAAACACATTTTGAATGGTTTTGATTCTGTTTTTCAAGTTAAATTGATACTTCGATAGTTTTAAGTAAAATCTACACATAAGTGAAAATTTATAACTCTTTAGAAGTTGTTATAGATTTCTATGTTATTTTAGTTATGGTACTATTTATTGGTGTAACGCTAAATTGAATAAGTTGAATACTGTGACCATCTAGATATTTTCTTTCAGAGAAAAGTCCTCAAAATATTGAAGCTTCTTGTTGACTCTTCAAGGGCCTTTAGACATGCCTAAATTGGTCTTCTGTGATGGAATAACTGCTGAGATTTAAGTGAGATCTAAGCATAGAACTTAAACACTGGCCTAAGTTTAATATGAAGCTATTAGTGGAATTAAATGTGAATATAATTAAAATGTACCCCACTAAATGTATTTATACCAGAAAAAAGCTAGATGTAGAAATGAATAGGAAAAATGTGTAGAGGAGAGTGGTGACTATTCTTGTAACTGCTAGTAAGACTTTCTGTAATTTGAGTCACATGTTATTATACTACAATACTGCATGCCTTGATGTTCTTTTTTATTAGGTACCTCTTTTATCATTTCCTTGCTTCCATATTTCTAGAAAGTAGATACTAGTGGTTGAATTTGTAAAATCTAGTACAATACAGATCCGTGTTCATATGCTGCAAAGATAACTAAGGCCTAGTGTATCCCCTCAAGAAGTTTACCTTATAGTGGAAGAGAGATGAATCTCAGGAGGGACTGGTGTGTAAAAAATAATATAGAATTAGCAATTCAAGAATAGAGAATGTGTGCTAGGTGTGAAGGGGACCCAAAGACTTCTAATCTGTGCTAGAGGAAAAGGTGGTTGTATAAAGGAATGCTTCACAAAAGGACACATGACGTGAGAAGGAATTTGCTAGGCCAAATGTAAATAGAAGTAGGGTGGACCCGTTACAGTGTGTAAAATTTGTTTATCCTAAAAACTGAGGAGTTTAGTTTGTGACAAGGTGAATTTGGAATGTGTGATTGAGAATGCTATTGTCCTCCAGTACTTTTTTCCCCTTAGTAATACAGTTTGGTTGACTAATGTAATGACTACTTTTGCAGTCAAACCTACAAGTATGATTTTTGCTAAGTACAGATAGTGTGTCCTACTTTCAGGAATTAAAGAATATGGTTTTGGCTAGATCATGAGGTGGGGACCATGTCCTAGGCACTATAAAATAGAAAATGGGAAGTCCCTGAGGACTTCATGCAGCAGAACTTTCGTATTAGTCTATAATGCTCTTCTCTGGACTGTTAATGGAGAGGAATAAACTGTTACGTTATGTAAACCACTATTCTTTTAGCTTTTTCTCTTACTGTGAGCTGAACTTGATTCAGGGTAAAATTTTGACATCCAGATGCACATGTCCATTGGATAGCTGCACATGCAGATATGGTGCCTTAAAAAAAGATCCTGATTAATTAAAAACAGGATTGAGAGTCATCATGTGCACTCAAACAAATACTGTTTGTGCCAGACAGGAGTACAGGTGTGTGGGGGAGGGTGCAGTTTACATGTTTTGTTGATAAGAGCAAATGGTGGAAGTTTTGAGTCTGGTTTTAATTATACATGTTTAACCAGGTGGAAATGGAAGAGAATCGATACAGAATCTTGGGTGTCAACATTTAAGACAGTAATTCTCAAGGGTGGGGTAGGGGAAGGGAGAGGGGGGAAAAAAGACAGTAATTCTCACTCTTGAATCACTTGGAGTCGTTTGTTGAAAGACATTACCCTGGAACTCAATTCCAGGGGTTCTGAGTCAGTAGGCTTAGAAATCTAGGACACCGAGAAAAAATGTACGTAAATGTAGGATAATTACTAGATGGTTCTCCTAACAATAGGAGAGGAAATATTTTAACGAGAAAACATTCAACGAGCAAGAAAATAGTCATTGATGAACTTAGTACATGTGATTAGTGGACTTCTTCATAAAGAGTCAGATTTAGAGTCAGGATTGAATAGGAAATGGAAAATATGTGGCTTCTCAGTACATTGTGAGATCTGTCTTTTCTATTCTTACCCTACTGAACATTTTCCCACTTTAAGTAAAATTTGAAAAATCTTATGTTGCTTTGTCTCTTTACCCTCTGCTGTGTGTAATGCTTTCAGTATTTCCTCTACATTCATTGAAAACCACATTAGATAGTGTTATAATTTTGCTTTCATCATCAAACATAATTTAGAAAACATGAGAAGGAAAGTTTATTGTATTTGCCCATATTTTTGCCCTTTCAATTGTTATTTCTTCTTGTTTTTCAAGATTGCTCCTTTCATTATTTTCTTCTTGCTTAGAGGGTTTTTTTGGCCATTCTTTTAGGAATGAGGATGACAAATTCTCTTGGTTTTTCTGAGAATGTCTTTATTTTGTCCTCATTCTTGAAGAATATTTGTTAGACATAGAATTCTAGACTGATAGTTTTTCCAGCACTTTTCACGTGCTGGAAACATATCTTCTTTATGGCTTCCAAGGTTTCAGATGAGAAATTTGTAATTATTCAATTTGTTTTCCCATATAGGTTCTATTATGGGTACTGAGCCACAACCCCAGCCCATCCGGTGGCTTTTTAAATTTTTTTGTAAATTTTTTCCTTTTAGATTTACACAACAAATATATTTTGACATATTATACCTACATGGAGTATAACTTATATTAATTAGGATCCCTTTGCAGTTACACACATGATGTGGCATTTCATTGGTTGTATATTCATAAAGGTACATAGGAAAGTTAAGTCACATTCTTTCTGCAGTCTTTCCTATTCCTATCCCCCCTCCCTTTTCTTCATTCCCTTTGTATAATCTAATGAACTTATATCCTGCTCCCACTTATTGTGTGTCAGCATCCACATATCAGAGAGAACATCTGAGATTGGCTTATTTCACTTAGTCTCCAGTTCCATCCATTTTCCGGCAAATGTCATAATATCATTCTTCTTTATGGCTGAGAAATATGCCATTGTGTATATATACCATATTTTCTTTATCCATTCATCTGTTGAAGGTTAGTTCCATAGCCTATCTATTGTGAATTGAGCTGCTTTAAACATTGATGTGACTGTGTCACTATAGTATGCTGATTTTAAATTCTTTGAGTATAAAACAAGAGTGGGATAACTGGGTCAAATGGTGTTCCATTCCAAGTTTTCTGAGGAATTTCCATACTGCTTTGTCGCGACCCCTTGCCCGCAAGGAAGACGCAACACCCAGGAATCTTCTCTCAGCAGTTTATTCAGGTCTCTTGATATTTCTTATTCTTTCTTCTTCTCTCTTTCCCGGATGCCCTCCCAGCCTTAATAAAGCATCCCAAGCCCCAATGCAAAGCTGCCGCGTGGAGCTTTCTCACAGGGTGGTGAAAAATCATGTGCCAACTCTCTCAGATAAGGAGTTGTTTGTCACATACCACAGCGGAGCCAGCGCCATCTCGTAATGGCGACCATAGTCTGCAGAAACGGCAGAAGCGGCTCACCACACTGCTTTCCATAGTGGTTGCTCTGTGCCTTTTTTTTTTTTTTTAAATAGTGTTGGGGATTGAACTTGGCCTTGTTGATGTGAGAGCTGTACAACCCTAACCTTCTTGTGGCCTTTTTATTTTTATTTTTTTTAAATAAGAATGTATTTGTGTATCATATTTGTGCTTTGAAAGTTTTAGCTTGAAAGGGATTTCTGAATACACTGATTTGTTTTGTTGAGACAGGTGTCCTTATGTTATCAGCTCAAGTGATCTTCCTGCCTCAGCCTCCACTATAGTGCCACCATACCCAGTTTTAAACATATTTTGCACTTAATATTATTTTCACCTTAAGATTGGGTTTATCAGGATGTAACCCCATCCTAAGTTGAGGTGCTTCTGTTTCCCCATGTAAAATATGTTCCTACAAATGCATTCCATCATACGACTTAACAAAATCTCTGTTTTGTTAGGTATTTAGAATATATCCATATGTATGTTACTAAACTAGATGATATGATAATTACTTCTATGCATATGTATTTGCATATCTCTCTTTTTTCCATTCATTAATTTTGCTGGGGTAAGGGATTTAAAAAAAATATTTTGTTTTAGTTATACATGGACACAAGGTCCTTTTATGTGGTGGTGAGGATTGAACCCAGTGCTTCACATGTGCAAGTGCTCTGCCACTGAGCCACAACCCCAGCCCTAGGGGTATGTTTTTAAAGCTGACAAATGGTTTTTCAGAAAGGTATACCCACTTTTCTCCACCCTCAGACTAAGTGAAAGTAGTTTTTTCATACTCTGGCCAACCTCAGAAATTATCTTTATTGTTTTTGTTATTTTAAGTTTTTCATTTCATAGGTTACTAGTAGCAGTGAATTTTCTTTTTACATGTATTTTAACCATTAATATTTCCTTACAATTTGCCTGTTGATAACCTTTTTTCATTTTTCCTCTTAGAGTATTCCTTTTCTTATCAATTTGATGGCTTTATTTAT